TGGTTCAATATGGAGAAGCCATCAAACCAATAAGATGGTTGAAAATGGCATTTGGTGAGAACGAAAAACATACTGGTCTTCCTGGGTATCCTGTTAGTAGAATTGGTGCTATTTGGAAAATAAGAGAGGCATTGAACAAAGCACGAAATTTGGTTAAAAGACAAGATGAATGGTGTTCCAAGCCAAAAACTTGGGCAACTGAGAAATATCCAACTGATTTTGAGCTTGAAACTCTTGCGAGTCTGCTTCGCGGTGACTTCAACTTGAATATACACCTATATGAAGCCTATGATTTTGAATCCTTGATCAGAGTTGCTGATGAATTCAACTTTAAAATAAACTCTTTTCATCATGCGTTGTCTAGTTGGAAAGTTACAAAGCTTTTGAAATCACACAATTCAACAGTTGCTATCTTCTCAGATGAATGGGGTGGCAAGAAGGAACAATATGATGGAACTGTTTATGCGCCAAAGTTGTTAGAACAACATGATGTTCCTGTTGCTATCAAGACCGACCACCCAGCTTTACCAGGTCAACAACTACTCTATTTTGCACAAATAGCTCACAATTATGGATTATCAGCAAAAGCCACTATCGCGTCAATAACTTCAGTTCCTGCAACCTCAATGGGTCTCTCCCATAGAATTGGATATGTTCGTAAAGGTTATGATGCAGATATTGTTATATGGGATAGACATCCATTAGAACTTGGTACATATCCATTGGAAGTTATAATTGATGGTGAACCTACATTGAATTGGAAAAACATTGAAAGACCATTAAGACCATCAATTAACCGTCATCAAAGACAACAAAAGGAACCTGATTTTTGCCCTGGCGCTATTGGTTCACAGAATATAATTGTCAAAGGAATTAAGAAGTCATATTTTGGTGATAAGACTAGTGATCTCACTGCTGTGATAAGAAATGGGAGTTTAGTATGTATTGATCAAACTTGTACTGACCAGATTGATCATATAAATCATTATGATGTACTTCATGTTCATGATGGTTATTTACTACCAGGAGTTACTTCAACAGCGGAAGGTTTAGGTTTAATAGAAATGAACTTAGAACCTAGTACATCTGATGGTGATAATAAAGATGGATTTGTTTATGCAGCCGATGGTCTCAAGCTTGATGGATTGATGATTGAAAGGTTGAGCAGAATTGGGATAAGTCAAGGTATTGTTGCACCAATGGGCAAAACATTTATAAAAGGATACAGCTGTCACTTCAAACTAAAAGCTGATAACATATCCGCAGCTATTTTGAACTCAAAAGTCGCACTCCACTTCAACATTGGTCATGATTCAAAGTCAAATGATTTTCCCACAATTTCGTCACAGATTGGATATATCAGAGTTTTTTTGCAACAACATCAAAATGAAACACCTATTGCAATCCATACACATAACAAAGCGATTATTGAGCAAATAATTCGTTTGAAGAATGAGTTTCCTTCACAAACATTCATTATAGTTGGTGGACAAGAAGCTTATATGATAGCAGACCAAATCTCCAGAGCAAAAATTAGTATCGTTTTATCACCATGGAGATGTACAGCTAAATTTTGGGAAAACAGACATTGCTCACCAAATATGCCATTAAGTGAATCATCTATCGAAATTTTATACAAGGCTGGTGTTCAATTTTCAATCGCGTATGATGAAGCTACAAACCTCAGAAGAATATTTTGGGAGGTTGGGTCTGCCGCTAAATCCATTGAATCAACCAATTTTACATTTGTGGAAACAGTTAATTTAATAACAAGTGTCGAAGAGATATTTGGCATTGAACAAAACAAAAACCTGTTAATTTTTGAACATAATCCATTTGAATTTGGTGCCAATATTGCGTTGAGTGTCGAAGACGGTAGAGTGGAGCGTTGTTACCCAAATGTTGAGGAGATTTTACATGGCAATTTATTATTTTAATATACATCTATTCATTCATATGAATCAGCATTTCTAATAAATTGATGGTAAAATACAACACCTTCGATGTGAGCATCAAGTTGAACTCGTTCATCAATAGCATGTGCATTTAGTCTCTTTTCTTGTTGAATGGGAGTGAAACGGTAAATATTTTCTGA